TGATGGTGATGATAATAATGATGACAGCCATGATGGTGATGATGATGACAGCCATGATGGTGATGATGATGATGATGATGATGGTGATAATGATGGTGATGATGATGGTGATGATGATAATGATAATAATGATGATGGTGATGGTGATGATGATGATGATAATGATGATGGTGATGATAATGATGGTGATGGTGCTGATGATGATGATAATGATGATGATAATGATGGTGATGATGATGATAATGATGGTGATGATGATGATAATGATAATGATAATAATGATGATGGTGATGATGATGATGATAATGATGGTGATGGTGCTGATGATGATGGTGATGGTGCTGATGATGATGATGATGATGATGATGATTATTATAAAACAGGTGATGCATAGTGAATCAGCCCTTGTAGACATTTGTATCAACTTCAAAGATAATTAATATAATAAGTTACTGTGTGATATACATGGTCGGCTAAAATATGAATTATGTCATCAATTAACTATTGTTGTTTACATACGGTCCAATTTTTAGTACATGTTAATATATTAAGTGTATTTAACATTCTGTTTTCAACACAATGTCTCTCATGGTCGGCATGTTCTCATGGGAACAAAATAAGGTTGAGACATTGTTGCACCACACTTATGACAAGCCAGAGGGCTCCATAGGACTGCAACTACAGAAGAAGTCTAGCCTATCTATCTGTCAGCAAAAACTGCACCAAACCTTTTACCCTCTGTGTGTGTATGCTGGCTGGAGGTCAGCCCTAGTAGGTGGAGTGCAAGCTCTTTACTCCCATCGGTCCCTCTTGCCTTGACCAGGAGGACTGTCCCAGCTGAGCCCAGGATTCACCTGCAGACCTGTTTGAAGGATTTCTCTACAGACTGCCACAGCTCTAAATTCCCGGTGGTACCTGTCTGACCTCCAGACGTTGTAAGATGCCGCTGTCGCGTTCCCTGTCCATGACGTCCCTGAGTGGGGTGCTGCCGGCCTGGGAGGAAGACGAGCTGCCTGTGGAGGACCTGCTGCTTTTCGAGGTGGCCTGGGAGGTCACCAACAAAGGTCAGATCACAAGTGTGATGATGCACACATTACCAAAAGAAATGACATGTTTGAATTGATGCATCCATGCAGTAAGCATGAGTTCAACTACAGAAGGCCTTCATTCAGAATACTGAAAATTACATCTTTCTTTTTTATTTCACTCTACTTGAAACAAGTGCTCATGTCCTGATTAAGTATGTTGATACAGTATAGGTGTAAGATCAAAGGAAATGAAAACATGAATTGACTTTGGAAGGAAACTGAAGATTTCTCTGACTGCATAACAACAACTGTAAAACTCTGGTAGTGTTAGTATTACTTTGTGTAAACTGCCTCTTTACCCCTTAAAGAGCAAATATTGAAATGCAGTGAGCATCAGTTCCCTCTGAAGAGTTAAACATTAAGCTGCAGATAAGTGGTGGAAGAGGAACAGCTATCACTGGCCGGTTTGGCCTCCTGATACTAACATGTGTCAACAATGAAATCAAAGGCACTAACATGGAAACATTTGACAAACTGAATAAATCAATCCCTGGACATGAAGTTAAGGTGAAAGTGGGTTTGTGATGATACCTTGATTTGACTTCAGCCTTGACTTAAGACAGAAACATACTACTGATGATACTCAGGTCATGATCTCTGTACTATGGGGACTGTGGAGGTTTTGTAACCTGTTACTTGATTGTCCATCAGTGACTACATCAACCTTTGGTTTGGGCCCCAGTATGTCCTCCAGTATCCTGTGGTGTGTAAGGCTAATGTAATCATGCTGTGGTTATATAATGGTGTGGTTGAAAGACAGTGGTCACACATACCATATCTGATCAATGTCTTATAATATTCTTTGCTTTCATATTGTGATTAGTGTTTCCTGTAATCTATGATTTTGACTTGATAGCACCTGAAGCACTGTGCATCTGTGAAATGTGCATGTTCAATCTGTTCATGTTCATGATCTGTCTAACCATTTTCACGATGTGAATCTGAGCTTGTCTGCTTGCTACGCAGTCAGTGCGTGGTCATGTTGTCAAACAGTTCAGAGGTTATTGGCCTTTCTGCTGTTGTCTCTGCTCTCAGCTCTTATCTAACGCCAGCTCTCTGATGCACTTTAGACGTCATTATGGGCATTTTCATGGTCGTTCATATCAATATTTGTCTTTTTGTTGCCACCTGAGAGACTGGGAAAAACATTTCCGCATGTTTTATTCTGTTACAAGATAGAAAATTCTGTCTGTGTTTGACAAACTACACAAAATAGCCCAGTATCAGCACAGGATTACTGGAGACCCATTAGAGCATTTAGGTTTAATAGAAGAGGATTCCAGTATTGGATAAACACACTTTGCTTTGCGTCCGTCTACAGAAAGTATGCATCATCATTTTACATGCAGAAATTATATGAAAGAGGAAAAAGAAAATTAAAAGGTAAAATATCATTTGCTGGAATACTAGGGATAAGCAGCCATAATGAAATGGTAAAAACAGAGAGGACATTGAATGGTAGATGGACTTACATAAAGCCTTTCTAGTCCGACCACTCAAAGCGCTTTAACACTACATGTCATCATTCATCGGTCACTCACACATTAATCTGATGGCAGAGGCTACTATGCAAGGTGTCATCTACTCATCAGGATCTAATCTAATGATTCACACATACACACCCATAGCACAGCCTGCAGGAGGAACTTGGAGGTCTTGCCATGTGGACTGGAGGAACCGGAGATTGAATCCCCGATAGTGGATGGCCTGTTCTATTCAATTCAATTCAATTCAATTCAATTTCAATTCAATTTATTTTTGTATAGCCCAAAATCACAAATTACAAATTTGCCTCAGAGGGCTTTACAATATGTACACATTTGACATCCTCTTGTCCCAGGACCCTCACATCAGAACAGGAAAAACTCCCCCAAAAAACCCCTTTAACGGGGAGAAAAGAGGAAGAAACCTTAGGGAGAGCAACAGAGGAGGATCCTCTCCCAGGATGGACAGAAATGCAATAGATGTCATGTGTAGAACAGGATACGTGAATTACAACACATTCAATGTAATTACAGCACATTCAATGTATGACAGAACCACGGCAGGAGGCAAGACCAGGTCCAGGTATAACCCGGATACACAGGAACCTGTGAGGCGAGAAAGCACAAATACTCCGGGGAAGAAGTAAAGTTAGTAATGAGTTCTGAGATCAGTTTGTGTTTTAATTTTCCATTTTTTATGTGCATTAAATCATCAGTATGTCAATCATCAGTAAATCACCGGTTGCCACCGGTGTGTATGTGTGAATGATTAGTTTAGATCCTGATGAGCAGGTGAAACCTTGTATGGTAGCTTCTATCATGACTATGAGTGTGTGTGGATGGGTGAATGTTGACATGTAGTGCACAGCGCTTTGAGTGGTCAAGGACTAGAAAGGAGCGATTAAAGTACAAGTGTATTTACCATCTCAGATGACTTTTAAGATCCCAAACCAACAGTCAAAGGTATAAGGTTCTAACATTTCTCTTGGCACACTGTCCCTCTCTAGGTCTCGTAGTAGCTCCCCTCATGGATGTATTGCAAATTGGCTCATTCAGAATATCCAGGGCTTTTTGAAAATGAAGAAACATTTGCATTCAAAACTCATGATGGCCTATATACATGTAGAATTGAGATTCACCTGTTAAAAAACAGTTATCACTATCGACCTACACAAGCCTGATAACAAATGACACAAGAATGTTTTACTTCAGTCAAACTCTTACACTGAGTTTTCTGACTTCATGAGGCCTACAATCCGCACCTACGATCCGCACCTACGATCCGCACCTACAATCCACACCTACAGTCCACACCTACTGTCCACACCTACGATCCACACCTACAGTCCACACCTACAGTCCACACCTACGATCCACACCTACGATCCACACCTACAGTCCACACCTACAGTCCACACGTACAGTCCACACCTACCACCCACACCTACAATCCACACCTACAGTCCACACCTACAGTCCACACCTACAATCCACACCTACGATCCACACCAGCAATATGTCAAGTTCAGTGAACCGATAAACAACAACAGCTGTTCAGGGAGCGTTTTAAAGCATCTTTTCCTATTGAGGAAGATGGGACACAACCAAACGTTGATGTCCACATGTCACTTGAAACAAATAAAAAAATTTAAATGAGGGGTTACAACCAAGCATTATAGCTCATTTTGTCAGCACTTTTGACCATCTGACCTTTGACATTTATTCATAGGTTTAAGTAGAACAGGGTCCCAAATATAAAAATGCATTCATCTTATTCAATGATGTTAATGTTTAGTGTAGAGAAGAAGTAAAACAAACAGGTTCAGAGCTGTCTTTTCTTTGCATGTGAACCTGCAGTTGGAGGAATCTACACAGTGATCCAGACCAAAGCCAAGATCACGGTGGATGAATGGGGGGAGAACTACTACATGATGGGGCCCTACTTCGAAAAGAACTTTAAGACCCAGGTGGAGGGCTGCGAGCCACCAAACCCCGCCATCAGGAAGGCCATGGACGCTCTAATCCACAACGGCTGCCAGGTAAGAGAGAGAGTACATATATAAGAACAAAAAGTTCGGAAAATTGTGTGTTGGTAGATTATTTCTCTGTTGTAGCAATGCTTCTTGGCAATAAATTGTATACCGTTGGAAAGCCTGTTTATTCACCTTTCAAACGGTGCCCCATTTGTAAGGATCATGCATTTCTGGGATGAGCAGCACAGCTGAGTATGTGGGTTGCACCCATGAAAAATTTGTGAAATCTTCTCTGCCTGAACATGTGGCAGTCCTGTCTCCTCAAAATTACGTTCCCCCAAAACTAAAATGCATTCTCAATTACGTTTGACCATAAACGTATTTTCTCCCTGATTACGTTTGTGTTTGACGTATTACAAATACGTTTCTCATCAACATATCTTTGCCATACTCTAGTCTTTATTATTTTTCTGTGATCTGCCTCGCCTCTACCCCCGCCACCCACAAGTTGTTGCCCTGCGGCCTGTTCCGAGGGCTGACAGACCTGACGACGTGCCTCACGGCGGGGGCGGCTGGAGACCTGGCGTCCGGTGCCAATGGGTGAGTGCCCACCACTCGGAACCATAAAACCAAGTCCCGGATTTCACCCGGGGGACATTCTGGAGGTATTGTGGCTGGGTGATGTGCCTCGTTGCTGGGGAGGTATGAGCCGAGAGTCGCGGGGTGTTATGGAGGTATATTTTATTTATTTGTATCCATCTAACCCTAACCCTGCCCTAACCCTAACCAAAACTTCCACTAGGAAGCCACGTCCCCACCCAAACCTAACCCTTAAGAGAGTCACGGTTACTCCCGGATTTTACACGCGGGCCTTTGTGGAGGTATTGTAGCCGCGTAATGTTCCTCGTTGCTCGGCCTGGATGAGCGCGTTTCTGCTGGAGACAGGCGGGGTGTTTTGGTGGTATCTCGGCCGACAACTCGGTGTTGTTCCCGTGCGTGGATGAGCGCATTTCTGCCAGAGACAGGCGGCGTGTTGTGGTAGTATTCTGACCGCGTAATAGTGCGAATGAGAGGCGGTGATGGAGAGGGAAAAAAAGGTTAAAATGTTGATTAGAAACGTATTTGTAATACGTCAAACACAAACGTGATCAGGGAGAAAATACGTTTATGGTCAAACGTAATTTAGAATGCATTTTAGTTTTGGGGGAACGTAATTTTTAGGAGACAGGGTTGCATGTGGAGGAACGTGATGTTCAGCGATGAGTCCAGATTCTGCCTAAGGAAGTTGGATCGTAGGGTCAAAGTGTGGAGAAGACGGGGAGAACGCTATGCTGATTGCTGCACCGATAGAGTAACACCCATTGGTGGAGGCAGTGTGATGGTGTGGGGCGGCATCTCCATCACTGGAAAAACGAGGCTTGTCTTCATTGGAGGCAATCTCAATGCAGAGAGATATCGAGATGAGATTCTGCAACCAGTGGTAATCCCATTTCTCCACAGTCTGGGACCGAACTCCATCCTCCAAGATGACAACGCTCGCCCCCACAGAGCGGTTTATCAGAGAGTACCTCCAGAATGTGGGAGTAGAGAGGATGGAATGGCCTGCCAGCAGTCCTGACCTCAACCCAAGTGAACACTTGTGGGACCAGCTGTTCGTGCCAGAGTGACCAACACAACCACGTTGGCTGACTTGCGACAAATCCTGCTTGAGGAGTGGAATGCCATCCCACAGCAGTGTGTGAGCAGGCTGGTGACCAGCATGAGGAGGTGGAGCCAGGCTGTTGTGGCTGTGTATGGTTCTTCCACACGCTACTGAGGCTCCTGTTTGTTAAATGAATAAATTGTAAAATTGCCAATATGTCTTGTTTCTTCCTTGTTACTGACAGACTTCAATCATCCAATCCACCAAACAACACCAACCAAGAGTCGATAGCAACAGCAGAATAAGCTGTTTGGCAGAGAAGATTTGGCAAATGTTTCATGGGCGCAACCCACATACTCAGCTGTGCTGCTCATCCTACAAATGCATGTTCCTTACAAATAGGGCACCGTTTTTACTTTCTTAAGTACTTTCTTAAGTCAAATCTTAAATGTACTGTAGAGTGACCACATATAGGGATTCTTCTTCTACTTAAGAGAAGACACTGAACCTTCTCTACCACTGTTACTTGCCAGCAGCTGTGTGGCGCTCTCATCACAGCATGTCTTCAGTGCACCCAACTGGAAATAGATTATGAGAACTGACTGCCAACATGTTCGCTCTCTCACTGGGCTCCCTTTGCTGATGTTGATGCTCCAGGTTCATTTTGGCCGCTGGCTGATCGAAGGCAGTCCATTTGTGATCCTGTTTGACATCGGCTCTGCAGCCTGGAACCTAGACCGCTGGAAGGGGGACCTGTGGGAGACCTGCAAGATAGGCCTACCTTACCACGACCGAGAGGCCAACGACTCGCTCATCCTGGGCTCCCTGATCGCCTGGTTCTTCAAAGAGGTCAGCTGATGTTCAGCCTGCTGTTCACTGCTCATCAGCCAATTCCCTACATTTCAACCTTTCATCTGCTGCCATCTTACGGTTACAAAGTGTGATCTTGTATGGTGCAGCTTTCAGTTAGTTACAAGAGGACTTTAGGTAACCATGGCTGTTTCTCAATTTGCTTTTACAGTTAACAGACGAGCTGGGAGATAAGCCTAATGTCATTGCTCATTTCCATGAGTGGCAGGCGGGTCCAGGCGTTATTCTGTCTCGCTCCCACAAGATCCCCATGGCAACGGTTTTCACTACACACGCCACCCTGCTCGGACGATATCTCTGCGCTGGAAATGCTGACTTTTACAACAACCTGGAAAAGGTGAGAGGTTCATCATAATCTCTATAAAACAGATATCTGCATATGAATGCAGAACCTGTAGGCAACGGGACAAGATGAAGCATTCTGGTGTCCGTTTGTAATCTTGGCTGACTCGTCACATTTGAGCGGGCTTTGGTTGGATGCAGGTGATCAGTCTGTGTGGAGAGCAGAGGCAGAACGCATTGGCTGAAACCTTTTATCCACTAAATATTAAACTTTTAAGTGAGTAAAGGCTTCTTGTGAAACAATCCGGTCGTACACGTTGTCTCTTAACTCCAGCTCCATTCTCGCTTCTCTTGCTGCTAATCAGCTTGTAACCAATGACCGACTCACGGAAGAGGAAGTCTTGGTCAGAGTTTGGCCAATCAGTATTTAGAAGCATGCACATACTGTCACTGCTGAAAACTACAGTGTAACAAATACGGTCACAGAGCAGGCCATTGCTACATTATTACTGTAACAAAAGCAGGCTCTGATCGGCTGGCACTCTCTAGAAGCACAAGATCTCCCAGATGATCAATCACAAATAGAAAGACAAATATTTCAATAATTACCAACTAAGATCCACCTCTCTTGTATCAATGATTGATTTGAGCAAACACGAAAGCACTGGTAGCACGTTGACGAATTGAACGATCTGGAGAAGACTGAAGTGAGAGCCGATATCTATTGACTGTAGCTAGATGAAGGGATAGATTGATGGGGTGCAGTTGATCCTGAACACATTTCAATCCTTTAATATTGAGTATCTGCCTGTACCAAGTCAGATTTCTATTCTAGCTTTGTTATATTTCAGAATAGCTTGATTTTAAGAATGTGGATTTTTCAACATGCTTTTACGTGTTCGTGGCTGGAGCTCATGAGTTTTTGAGCAGCTCTAAACAGCCACTACTAATAAGAAATTATAAAAGGTTTCAATCAAAGTATCTGTTTCTCATGGTGTTGCATGAAAAGTGACGTATTTATATGAAGATTTGGGAAAAAGAGAGGGGAGTCTAGTTTCAGGTGCAAATTCTGCCAACTTCATAAACACCTGACCAATCACTGCATGGAGTAGTTCCAATCCAGCGGTGTGTTGGGGGAGGGGATTCAGACGCTGTTTGACCATCCAACAAGAACTTAGTTTAAAACTCCAGTGTACCCTCCATAGAGCCTTAACGGCTGGCTTTGTGTACGTTGAGACATTCTGAAAAGATTCACATACAGTCAAAACGTTTTTAACACCAGTATTGAGCAGCCAGTAGTTTTAACGATTACAAAGGGACTCCCTCATTGGTTTCAACTGTTGGTCATGATGGTGGCTGCTTGTTGAAAACAGGTGTCTTCAACATTCCAGGAACTTTGACAAAGTCCTGTTTAATTGCTTGATTGCTGGACAATCATTTGGAGCCACAGTAATCCACAGGTTTTGAAAGCGTCCGAGGTGAGAAAATACTCTCAGATGTAACTCCTCGACCTGCAAAACAACACATGAAGTCCCCATATGACTTTCTATCTGCAACCAAAACCACAAGGTGTTCTCATGCTGCCCATGTGATGAACCATGAGTGCTCATATTGACCTGGAGATCTCCACACATCTCTGCTTGTCCACATGAACAACATATTCAAATCCACAAACCATGACAATAGCAATATGCATTTTTGCAGCCATACATGCACACGTAGTTGTGTTCACCAGATTCATCTTCACATTCAAAGGTTCAAGCCAACAGATCACAGCCTCTTACAGCCACTTAGAGCATCATTAGTGATGTTGAGTTGTGTGTTGAGGGCTCAGGGTGATGTTTGTAATTGGCATCCTAAAGGTCAGTTTGGAGGTAAAGGCCAATGGCTGAATGGATAATTGACAGACAAGGAGTTTGTAACAGCAATTCTAGAGGAATCATATCAATATGCATTTTCAGTTCTGTTGACACGATGTAGCCAGGATAAAGGAAACAAAGCAGAACATGGAGCTGGAGAAATGCATTGAATACATTACATTAAATGAAATGGTTTAACAAACAGTAATCTTCATCTTTCTTTCATTTCATGTGACATAGTAGTTGTATCTCCTGAGTAGATAACCAAAACATTTTGAGGTTTAATTGGCAGTAACTAATGACAATTGGTGAGGAACCTCCCAGTTCATTCATTCCAAGGGGAACAAAACTGTCTTTGAACAGACCTACAACCAACGAGTGTAACGGAACATGTGCCGTTGAGTAAACACACCACAGCGTGCAGTGACGAGCTGTGATGGTGGAGCATCAATATGTCTCTGAAATATGTTGTCTTTACCATCAGAATTTGAAGATATATTCAACGCGTCATTAAAGCCCTGAATAAAGTTGAGACCAGCTCATCTTTGATTTGAAGTGTTTGTGATTCATAACACCGCGTTCCATTGAAAATAAATGTCTTGTAGTAAAAACACTAGTCTGGTTCCCAGAGTCACTGTTTGTCTGTGCTATATGTCAGAGTTTCACAATAACATGTATTATCCAGAAAGACATACATTACTGTAATACAATAAAAAAAATAGGATTCTGAGCCTCTACAGCAGGGGTCTTCAATGTTTTTCAGGCCAAGGACCCCCAAACTGATAGAGAGATGGAGCAGGGACCCCCGACTATACATATTGTATAAAATTGTGTTTTATATTAAACTGGGCCTAGTGCCATGTATAAACATACCTCTTTACTGTGCATTCAATACTAAGCTATTCAAATAATACACAGGTTCATATACTCATGTCTTTATTTTAAACATGTGCAAGGTACAGTGAGTAGGGAGGCCGTGCCACTGCCATTTATAAACATACCTTGTCAGCTGATACCAATGCCAATATCAACATTGTCTGTTAATTGCATGATAATCATGCATACAAGATACTCAGATTGACGTTTCTATTTTAAACATGAATGTTGAAACGAAAAATGAGTGATGGCCTATTAGTGCCACTGCCATGCATAAACATACCTGTTATCTTTCATACAATACTGAACTATTAACATAATGGACACATTCATGTTTGGGAAAAAAACAGGACCCCCTGTTGAAGACCTCTGCTCTACAGCTTTGATCTTAGGCTGCGTATACAAAACCAGCGACATGGCAACTTTTTACAAGACATTTTCAAAGGAAGTGACATGAAGCTATGAGCCGACGCCCGGTACTTATCGCTGTATGACGGGCGTGACCCACTACAAAGCAAAGATGCTGTTTAACCACATAACGATGTCAACAGCACTTGAGCAACACGGTTTGCTACAATGTAGCTGGCCACGCTGGGTTGTTTGATTGCTTTTATCGTTGTGGTGTGAACATAGCATTAGGATCAACCAGACAGTAACCAGTCAGTTACTGTAGAGACCCTGTCCTCAGCCTGTATTTACTTACTTTGTGTTTCTGGGCGACTAAAGAAACGTAGTGACCAGGTGTCAGATCGTAAGCACGCTTCCAAGAGGTAGCTCCGAAATACAGTAGACACAGCACCAAAAAATAAGCAAATATAGCCAAGCAAAATGACAAAGTTTGTTCCTAAACAAGTTATCTAAACACTCATGAACAGTGGGGAACAATGTCAAAACCATTCGAATATTAAAATAATTAGTATAGGCTAATGATTATAACAACATTAGCATGATTTCTCTACAGGGATACAGCCCCAAATAGAAATGTCTGAAAAAACAAAAACATAATAACATTATTCGTTCATAACTTTCGTACCTTACTGTCATATTCACACAGGAACAGAAAACATGTTAGGCAAGCACAGCATTACAGTCATTTTTTACAGCAGCCTATACATATGACCTGCTTTGGTGCAACTCTGTTTTAAAGAGACAGGATTAAATAGGCACCTCGGTCCATGAGAGCACGGCCCTCTTAACCTTGAGAGGAACCCGCACTCACAATAATACCCGAATAAGCCCACTCAGTCAGACCGTGGAACTAGTGTAGCAGCACAGGCTGCGCTGCCAGGATCTCAGCCACTACTTTATGTGAGCTACAGTTTCCCAGAAAACACTTTTTATGCGTCACTGCTCAGAGACGTTTAATAGCATCGAGAGGCAGGTCTATACATGTAACTAGGTTACGAATACTGAACTACATCACTGATGTTGTAAAATATCACAGTAATGAGACTCATCCTTTACAATGATGACACGCTAAATCATCAGCATGAATATTGGAATAGGTGTGTTTAATGCCAGTCCATCCGAACTCGTCCAGCTGGGCTGATTCTGTAAAAAAATGCAGTTCAATTAAATGTTCTTACTTTCACTGCTTAAATATGTTTTTATAAATAATTCCATTTTGAACCTACAAGGTTCAAAATGAGAATCCTTGAAATAATTGCCCCTCACACAGTATCGACCCGTCCTCTGTGTGTGTGTGTGTGTGCGCGTGTGTGTGTTGTAGTTCGACATTGACAAGGAGGCGGGAGAGAGGCAGATCTACCATCGTTACTGCCTGGAGAGAGCAGCGGTACACTGCGCTCACGTCTTCACCACAGTTTCCCAGATCACCGCCGTGGAAGCCAGCCACATGCTGCACAGGACGCCAGGTGGGAAAGCTTTTCACTGCACTCAAGTCAGCTCCACAGACTGTGCATTCCAATACTACCATACTTTAGTGTGCCAGAAAAGATGTGTAAGTCCCAATACATAGTTTGTCAAATGCATTATGCCAAAAGTACCAGGATGTCCTACTGCATCCGGTCACAGGCCAGCCAGCATGCTTTTCTGCTGTTAACACCCACAATCCTCTGCACAGCAGATATATGAGCAAGAGGATCAAAGTTCAATGTGCAGTGTTATGGTAAAGTAGTGTGTCCCAATAGTGCAAGCAAAGAAAAGAAAATGTGTTTTCAGGCAAGAAAAGCTAACGATTAGCCTAGCATACCGTGAAACAAAGAAGTGGTCGCCATGGATACTAAACAGGAGGCAGAGATAAACATCATAACGCTCAGAGCAGAGAACAGGGACATTGAATACCCTACTAAATTTAAAAGTGCAGCAGCTCGGGCTCGGGAGAAACACTGCGTTAAAACCAAGAGGTCCTCTTCTCCGACAATGCCCAACAAAAAGAAGGAAGGAAGAAGAGCTCATATTCTTGGCTGAAAGATGCAGTGCAGCAACTATGCATGTGAATCCTGTGATGGCATCGGTTCGGATTACACATTTGTAGATAAACACCTTGACAAAGATAACCCTCTGCATACCATCACATACTACACCAAAGGAAAGTCACGGTCCAAGGTAATGAAGCCAACCTGGAATCATTTAAAGAGGCATTCCCCTGTTGAAACCTGAGGAGATCAACGTCTCCTCCGACAGTGAAGATGATGAGAGCCCAATAGAGAACCCCACACCTGCCAGCTCCACCAACCTGCTGAAGGAGAGTAGGGCTCTGTTGGAGCTGAACTTTGCTGAATTCAACGAGTTGACCCTGGCCAAGCTGTCTGGCCCCCAGACAACATTCTGCAGCAGCTTAAAGAGGAGGTCCATCAGCTCAAGAGAGACAATGAGACCTTTGCATCTGACCTCAGAGGAGGTGTAGAGGCACTCCAATAGGAGAACAGTGTGCTCTCCGCTCAGTGAGCCAAAGTGAAGGAGGATGCTGAACCAGGCAAGTCCAATGCCTGTTAGACTAACTCTCATCCATCCCTGCAAATGACAAGTACAGAGACACAAACTTTCCTTGCCAGTGTCCCAGACCCCTACATTGTCTCTGCCCCACCCTGCACCCAGCCAACAACAGTCTGGTTTTATATGCTTAATTCATTTGATAATTACTTCTCATTATGCATATACATACCGTATACTACATTCCTCTTTATATTCAGTTTATACATTTTGCAATTAGTGTCTACAACAAGTGAATTTGTTTAAAATGTATATTATATACACATTATATATTATGTTTTAACGTCTGCACTACTTTACGTCTTAGATTAAAACTTTTGTGTGTTTTTCTTTATACATATTTAATACGTATTTTGAGGGAGCCTGACATCTAAGATTTTCATTGCCGACTGCTTCTCTGTAATTGTTGTGTATATGATGATAAATAAGTTGAAACTGCAACTGAAGCTCTCCTATTGCTGTGTTGATTGCACAGATGTGGTAACACCGAACGGGCTGAATGTGAAGAAGTTCTCAGCCATGCATGAGTTTCAGAACCTGCACTCCACCAGCAAGGCCCGCATCCAGGAGTTTGTCAGAGGACACTTCTATGGGTGGGTGGAGTTGATTAACGTAGTTCTGATCCATCTTCTTTTGTTTTATTAAGGTTCTCTGAAATAGTGTTGTGTCATAACTGGAGAGGGCCATTCACATATTGTCAGAAACAAGCTACTTCAGAAAATGACGATGTCTTGACTGGAGAGTAAATGTAATTCTTCACCTTCTGACAGTCATCTGGATTTCAACCTGGAGAAAACCCTCTTCTTCTTCATCGCCGGACGCTATGAGTTTTCCAATAAGGGAGCTGATATTTTCCTTGAATCACTGTCCAGACTCAACTACCTACTGCAGGTGAGGCCTTTGGTCATTTGCGGTCAGTTGCACTCTGCTGTGTGCATTAAATGTGCGAAAGTTGCAAAAAGTACACCTTCAAAAGAATTATAACTAGTGGCTTAAGGTAGTTATGATGGGCCCCAGCGCACACTATTATGATGGGTCCCAGCGCACGCTATTATGATGGGTCCC